CGTTTTTTAAACTGCAATAGTTGGTTAGTAACAGAGAGTTTTTTTTTCGTTGATATTTTCTTCATAGTTAGTTACCCCACAACGACTACAAAAACAAAAGTGATAACATTTAATCGACTCTTGTGGACTTCCCAAAGTAACCAAATCACCTTGTAAAAAAAAGGTAAGAAACCAAAGTACATATATAATATATACAAAAATCAATGAGAAAATTAATGTTTCAGAAGTTGATTACTGTAGATATCATCACATATATCATCAATATCCGGGTGAGTAGACGACACTATATTGAAATCTCGTATTGTGTATTCTTTCTTCATAAGGCTACCACCAAATACGTGTTGATATGGATCGTTATTGATATATCCAAGAGTTCTAACATGCACGACCACACCAATCAGTTCTTTTAAAAAAAAGTACAACTAATCAAATATCCTATGTTTTTAGTATAAACATATGCATTACGATTTGTACTAAAAACTGAAAAAAGATTTTAGAACTCACCAATGGGGTATTCAACATCAATACGACCATCACGAACTTCTTTAAAAGAAACAATAGGTTCCCCTTTAAAAATAGGGTTAGTTTTGGCGTGTGTTAAGTGTATAGTATTTGATTAGTTTTGGCGTGGGTTTTCATGCTCACGACACACCTCATCTTTTTATACAACTCTGTACCAACATTTATATCTTGTTCTCGCCTATCATTTTTAATTATTTCTACATCATTATAATCAAGTTCCATAGATTTACTAATTTTAATTTGAATATTATAATTTTTTAATCCGAATGTTATCCGTTTACGATCGTGTGTTGCTTTTTCGGAACAAAAATCAGCGTTTAGTTGCTATATACTCATCAAAATAATTTTATAGTTTTATAAGTTAAAAACATAAAATTTTGGTAAAATATGTCTTTGTGATTAAAAAACATTAAAAACATCATAGCAATGAAAACACGAAAACGACAATACTATAAATACAAAAAGTAGTTTTTTGTAAAAGAATATAAAAAGTAATTTAGGATTTGCCCAAACTAAATGAGAGACATGCATAAACATTATTTATCCCTTATACAAAATTGTCGCCTCTAGCCATTAATCGTTTTAATATAATGACAAAGCTTGAGATTAGTTGGGTTGTTTATCTTAATATAATGATGAAACTTACCGTAAGCAAACCAAATTCACCAAAAATTCCTCACCCATCTCATAACTCAAGTACTTTTAGTTGAGTTTCGGTTTACTCACTTATTTGTCCAAACATAATTGAAAATGCTCAAATAAAAACACATACATATATATATATTTTTTTTTTTTTGGAAAATTTGATCACATACATAATTCCTTACTATAATGTTAGTTCGACTTGGTTTTTATTGGCTAATTCAATTACAAATTTTTGCAACGTATGTTCCACTCTTTTAATATCTTATAGTAGTCCGTTTATATGGCAATATGAGAATATTACAATTTGTAGACACGAATATATAACAAAACAACAAAGCAAATCATGAAGGATAATCTAAATATAGGCATAAATATCAGGAACCAAAAAACACAAACTTTATTGAGGAAAAAATGATGAAAAATATCAAAGAATACGAAACTGAATGCTAGATAAGTTTCTAAGAGCAAGACATCCTACACAAGAGAAACATTGTATTAGAAATAAAACGGTCTAGGCTTGCCAACTTGCTTCGAATTTGTTTATGGAAATCAAGGATTAGTTGTATCGTAGGTCTTGAAATTACTCGGTGAAGTCGCAAGTTTTCTCTCTCCATATCTCATAAATTGTTGCTTGAATAATGAGCTTACATATTGCATTGAGCCTACAATTCTAAGAAGCTGACCTTACCAACAAGATGATATCATAGAGTCGTAGGAGGAGGTAATGATGAGTTTCTGATGATGGATGTCCTTGGTTGGAGTAAGTAGTTTCATATCTTCATGTATATTTAATTTTGTTTCGAATCTGTGTTTTTATACATGGATGTTATAAATTGTTGAAACATACACGATAAATTAAATTAATGTGTTTTATGTTTTGGTGATGAAGTTTATATATGCAGAATTTTTCTATATATAACGGTCTTAGAAAGAATAAATACTGACAATTTTATTTGGGTTTGATAGCAAAATTATAATGTTAAGGTAATTCAATTTTAATCCAGTCTGCTCAAAACACCATTGAAGATTGACAACTTTACATTAATTG